AGGCGTGCATTTTTTAAAGAATATTTTAACCAGCCTTCAAAAGGCGTGGATTTTTTAAAGAATATTTTAACCAGCCTTCAAAAGGCGTGGATTTTTTAAAGAATATTTTAACCAGCCTTCAAAAGGCGTGGATTTTTTAAAGAATATTTTTTAAAAATAAATTATTCAAATGGAGTATATTTTCTTATAACATTTAAATCACTTCTCAATTTCAGCACACAGCACTTTAGTAAAACGTATTGTGGCCTTGTGTTTTTGTGATATATAAATATATGTTTTCTTCTTCTGAAAATGTCAAAATTTGTCAGCCTCTTATGTGTCTACCCTTTATACCAAAAATAAAATAAATTGTATTATTTTTTTATAATTTATTTATTTACATTTTAAATAAAATAATTTGAACTAAAATATTGACAAGAATCAGTTTTAAAAATGATAACAATAAAAAGGAACAATAAAGCCATTTGTGGGTCATATAAATTATATAAGGAAATAATTCAAAAACAAGTGTCATTTGCACGATATCAAATCGTATAGAAATTAAACGGAACCCCCAAAAAATAATTTTAAAAAATATGTAATATCAATAATTAGCTGCAATGTCTTCTCTTACAAAAAAACACAATCTCACTCTTCTTTTTTTTTGGTATAATTAAAAAATAAATCAAATATTGCTTCTCATTAATCACAAGAATACATTTTTAAAAAAACATATAAAATAAAATAAATCAAAATTTCCATTAACTTTAGTTTTTAGTTTCAGTTGTTTTGTTTTTTGGTATAGAATTTTATAAAATCAACTAATCGCTTATTGTGATGATGATAATAATCTATTGCTGATAATATAATAATTTAATCCATTATGGACAATTAGTTATAGAATGCACTTTGGTTTAAAGTAATACAGTGTTATTTGAAGCGATGAAATATTCCTTTTGTTTGTTTTATCTTTTCTCACATCTCTATTGTACTTTACAGTTACAGTTATATTGCAGGCCTTTTACATTTTGCTATTTTTTTTTTTTTTTTTCTTTTCTCTCTACCAAATCCAATTTATATAGTTATTATTTGTATTTTGTTAAATTCTGACTAGCACATCACCGCATGTCTCACCAACCCAACCAAGGTGGATGATTAATTTTTGATGGTGGTACAAATGTTAAATTAACTGGTAAATTTATACGAGCATATGATCGTTTTAGTCGTTGCAGTGTATTTTTTATTACCACACCATTACGACCAAGTAAATATCCAGCTGGTATTTGCGTATCTCTATCGGTTTTGTCATGTATCATTTCTATGTAATAATCAAATTCGCTGGATTCACTATTGAATTCGGTAATAATAGCCGCCAGGGCTCCAGCCATTTCGGCATTAATTGTTTTCGTTAGAAAGGAACATTCTCTGGAAAAAAAGGAATAGAAGAAATTAAAAACATATTAAGTTATTTTTAAATATAAGACTTAAAATATTAGAAAAAAGTATTAAACTGCCAGTTGAAAATCCGGAAATAAATCATATAGAATATATTAAATTTTCCCCAGCTTCTGGGAATAGCTGGGGATAATTTTTTCTATAAAGAAAAAAATCCCCAGAAGCTGGGGATAATTTTTTCTATATAGAAAAAACCCGCGAAAAAGCGTAAGTGTTTGATTTGTATTTCACAATAGCATTAGAAATTAATTTCTCCCAATTATGCGTGATATCTATAATAGAACAAACAGTTCAATTAAGCGGGTTCCTCGGTTAATTGAAACCGAAAAATACTGTATTTAGTATTTTATTATTATATTGTAATATCCAATTTTTATGTAATTTGGACGAAGACATGAAAATTTTCATGGAATTTGGATGAATATAAACAATTTATAGGTCCAAAAAGCGTATTTTTCAAGACCCTTTGTATGGGAGGTATATCAAATCTTTGGTCCGTTGCTTCATAGGCATAAGTAAATGTAAATTGCCAATTTTCATTGATTTTTGTTGAATTTTAAAGATTTTATAGGCCAAAAAGGGTGACATTCTCAAGGACCATTATATGGGAGGTATACCAAATCTTGGTCCGATCTATCCAATTTTTTGTCAGTACCAAATTTCAAAAATGGAAGGAGTTATTGTAAGTTAACTCCTTCTATTTTGGCCGCTGTTTATATGAACTCGCGACATAGTGCGACGGACCTAGCTCAGTCCATTGTCAAAAGAAATAGGATTGCTACTACAACAAATTAAGGCCAATTCAGTTAAAAAATGTGTAAAAAATACCGCAAATTTGAGTACCGTCGTATGGGGGTTATGCCCAAAAGTGGACCGATAAGGCCCATTATCGAAATTGGCCTGCCTGCAGACAAAAGACAACTCTATGCTAAATTGTAAATCTGTAGCTAATCCTCACTTTTTATATCTATTCAAAATGAGCCGTGGGCTCCTATTTCAAATGTCCACCTGAAGGCATAAATCTATGATGTTCATATTCAAATAAATATGGCAATAGCAGATGATAGTAAATCGTTCTGGTGGTCTAAATATTTATTTACCCTGTTTGACGTATTTTTCACTACAAATAAATGCCTTATTTAAAATCATTAAACACTAACACCTCAACTTACCCTCTATCGATGAGTGCAACATTACCACGTAATGCACGTTTATTTTCAATTTTTGTGCAACCATCCGATGGTATGGTCGGCACTAATGCAACACCCTCCAAACGCTGTGAAAATGATGTGCCAAAATCCTTCGATGGCCGTAAACGATACGTGTACTCCAACGAATAGGGTTCTGTTATTTCAAAGAAAACATCACCAGCTATAATATCCTGGGTGGTAACAATATCATTTAGGGGTGGATGATGTGAATCACCTGGAAATTAATTTCAATTAGAAAACATAAACACGCAAAATCTTATCTGCATCAAAACTTTATCAATTAATCCCAACATACATACCCAACATGCCAGAGACCAATTGCTGGCCTAATGCCAGTATCAACATGGCCACAAAAAATATAAATTTACCGCAGGTTTTTTCCATGTCAACATTAAATTGTTTATTGTTTTTTAGTTAATTATGTATGATTGTAAATATAAACATAGCCAAGTTTAAGCGTTTTGTCGAGAAATATCCATATCCCTTTAATACAAATTAAACAGCTGACTGGAATGCTTCTTCTTGGTTGTAAAGCATTCACGTTGAGTTGTTAGTTTCATATACAAAAAGAAACACAATAAAAAGCGTTGTCGTTTTCTATATAATTATTAAAATGTTACGATACGTAGGTTGTGTAGATTCCGTTATAAATATTTTGGGATTTAAGATCAAATTGAGTAAATCTTAAATATGGGATATGTCCTGCCATTGAAATGTTTTCAATGTATTTTGGTATTATCCATTCGACATATCTACGTTTGAAAAGAAGTTTGAGGTTAGATTTCAAAGCTCACGAAGTTGTGAATGAAGAAAAAAGGATACAAGACGATATGTGCCTACTATAGAAGAATAGGTCTTCTTCCCATTGCATATAAAGTGCTATCCAGTGTGCTGTGTGAACGATTGAAGCAAATGGTCAATGACATTATTGGACCTTACCAATGCGGCTTCAGACCTGGAAAATCCGCCATTGACCAGATTTTTACTCAGCGCCAGATCCTTGAAAAGACCCACGAAAAACACATCGACACATCCCACCTATTCGTCTACTATAAAGCCACACTCGACAGCCCTATCCGATCAGAGGTGTATAAAGCCATGTCTGCGTTCGGCATTCCTGCAAAAATAATAAAGCTATGCAGGATAACTTTAACTGGCACAAGGAGAGCAGTTAATAACGGAAAGTACCTCTTGGAGACCATCAATACCAAACGTGGATTCAGACAAGGTGACAGTTTGTCGTGTGACCTGTTCAACATCCTGCTGGAAAAGGTCATACGAGATGCAAATGTGAACAGAAATGACACTCTGTACCCCAAAAAGCATATTTTACTCGCCTACGCCGACAACATCGACGTAATGGGTCGAACATTGCGAGCGGTAACAGCCACCTTTGAACAAATTGAGAAGGAGTCTGCCAAAGTGGGTCTGACAGTAAATGGCAAGAAGACCAAGCTGATGGTATCAACGCGCAAGACGTCCCGTAGACTCGGACCAACTGTGGAACTTGAACACTACAGCTTCGGGGGTAGTGAACGATTTTATATACCTCGGTACCGCCAAAAACAAAATTAATAACATCAGTTTTCAAATCCGGAGGAGAATAGTGTTGGCCAACAGATCCTACTCTGGTCTAAGTAAGCAACTCAAAAGCAAGACCACCTCTCACCAGTCCCATGCTGTTGTATGGATCTGAAGCATGGATACTTGTGCAAGCAGATGAGGCAGCTCTTGGAGTGTTTGAGGGAGGGGAAGTCCACGAATTAGATGGAAAGATCAAGTAGAAGACAACATCTCGTTCAAATTGCATGAGAGGCGCACAAGACTGACGCGCCTATAAATCTTTTTTACGCTCGGCTTTTGGAACAGCCGTTCTGTCATAATCCAGCTAAGTAAGTGAATGAAGAAATATTGAGTAAATCTTAGAAGGTGTATGTCCTGCCATTAAAGTATTTTCAATGTAATTTTTATTAACCGTTCGATAAATGTTGGAGAAGAAGTTTGAGGTTAGATTTAATAACTCAGCTAGGACATTTTTTGGCAAAGCTGTGAATGGGAACTGGAGTATCCTGTTATAATACCAACAATTAATTTCATCTCCTTAATTCCCAGTTAATTTCATCTTCGCCTATTTATAAAACCTATCGATTTCAACTAATATAAAACAATAATTTTATTATTAGTCCTTTTTGTAGAAACCCAATTGCCTCTAAAATATGAAAACTATAACAATTTCTATTATAATTTCATTTATTTTTACATTAAGTTAATGTATAAAAAATAATTTAAAAACATTATAAAACATAACCTAACAAATTGACTAGAATCAAATTACACAGCACCCATCAACTATTGCTATCGCTTTTCCGTTGTATTTACATTTAAACGATCGCGTAATATCGTCCTTATTGTCTCCTCCTTCTGAGCTAATTTCTTTTCCATTTTATCAATCTCCTGCAAATGACGAGCATGTAAACCACGAACTTGAGATTCTTTATGTTTGACAATAGTTTCCAAACGTTTGAGAGCATCCCAAGTACTTTGTAAATTCGCTTGACCTTCTTCTAGTTTTTGAGCCCATTGTAGAGCAATACGAAGTCGTGCCCGCAAACGATCTCGTGATTTTTTCACCTTTTCTGTTGAACGTTGCAGTGAGGCATTCCGTTTCCGCAACTCTTCCATCTGAGCAGAATGTTGTTCCAATTCTTGTTTTAATTTAGCATTTTCATCTTTAAACTTTACCACTTGATGATCCGCACTGGCATGTCGTTCGGTTAGCTCTCCAATTGTACGTTCCAGAGAATGTTTTTCCTTGCTATGTTGTTGGCGTAATTGTTCGAGCAGTTCTTTGCATTCTTTTAGTGAATTGGCTATGGTGTCTTGGGGTAACGCTGCAATACTTTTGAGAGACACCAATTCTGCTTTACATCTGGTATATGCATTCTGTAAATGTTCCATGTCCAAAACCAATGTTTGTATCTTCTGTTCATAACAGTGCATAACTTCGACCAGTTTTTCTTTGGCTAAATCAGTTTTGCGGGTTTGAGCTTCAGCCTTTTGCCGGCATATGTCCAGCTGAGCCTGAAGTCGGGCACGTTCCTCACGCCAATTACCACCATCTCTCTTCAGCGAATCCACTTGCTGCTGTAAACGATTATTCTCTTCCAAAACTGTTTTCAACTCTCCCGTAAAATGTTCAAATTCTTGGGTATATTGTTGTATTAAATCATCTTTGTCGCGTATCATTTCATCGTAGGATTGCAGCAGTGGAGCCAATGTATGATTACGTATTGGCTCCTCTTGCCACTGTGATATGGAAGATTTATTCGCACCTGAGGCACTGGCAGTCTTTAGAGTTTCTTCGGAAGCTAATTTCGATTGGCGTAATGCATCTTGATAATGTTCAATTTGTACATTCAAACGGTAGACCAAGGTCTTCATCATATTTACATCGGCAGTTAATAAACGATTATCTTCATCACTCTTCTTTAGTTCACTTTCCAAACGATGACATTTGTCACAATTTGCTATTTGTTGTTGTAGGTGGGCGATTTGTTGTTGCAGAACTTTGGCCTCATGGAGTAGGCGTTGATTTTCATCGGCAAATTGTTCGTTAAATTTATGAACTGTCGCTAAGCGTTGAAGGAGTTTTTCCATTTGTTTGTCCTTCGACTGGAGCTGAAATGGAGGGAATGGAAATATTTTAGTAATTTAATGGAAAGTAAAGAGGAAAAATAGAGGACTATGCAGTTCATTTGATTGAGAGAATAAAAATGTTATACAACTGGTCAAAAATTAAAATAAGAATAATACAAGTAAAAATTTCATTAAGTTTGGTCGGATCGTGACCAACGTGAGTTGGATATTTAAGGAACATAAACACGGTCGTGTAATTTATATGTGGCATGCAATAGACTGCTGGAGTTCTTTGCAAAATAAATTCGTAGTCAGAAGAAGCTCAAGATGGAACATGTTCTTATTTAAATATCCTTCAGAAACTTCAGATATTAGGCAAACTCAAACTATTTTCATACTGACACAACACAAATCCAACTATTGGTCTGTTTCCGTACCTCAAACATATACTAGATTTTACTATTTTCTTCGATATCATAAAGGAAAATTCGTTATCGTAGTAGTAGTTGATTCTTGTAGTACGGGAACAAACCATATAGTAGTGTTTCCAAACGCGAAATATAACATAAAATCGCCCAGATTTACATCACAGGTTTATTTCTGTGTACTAGAGCCTTCAGAATATCAAGCAGATATTGAACTGAGCTTCTGTACCTATTAATTTGCGGATAAAATCAACTGAAGTCGATTTTCTTCATTGTTTACCAACATTTTTCACATCATGAACTATTTGTCCGGAAACTCTGCATTCAAGACTTTGCTAAATCACAACTTACCAAATCATGAAAATAGCTAACATGTTTCACATTTTTATTATTTATCCTATCACCACAACCACCACCGCCACCAGTCGATTCACCGCCACGCAGCAGTCTTTCCTCTGGCTTACATTCAGCACTCTGGGAACGTCTTGTAAAATTCCCAGATAATGTTTGTAATTGTTTTTCTTTGGTACGTTTTTTGTGGCCAACCTTACGATGTTGGTCTTCTTGCTGTTGTTGTCGTTGCTGTTCATTGTCGGATTGATCCAAATCGGTTATGATGACATTACGACGTGTTGTTGACATTTTATTGAAACAAATTTATTGTTATATTAAAATTATTTCAAATAAATAAATTAAACGTGTTTTCTTTTTTATTGTCTATTATAACTTTGTATTGTGCCAGGAAGGGTGGTGTTAAAGGACCTCTGAAGTTCAACGTTACCATGGTAATGGTTCAACTAGACATTGGCGCGTTAAATATGGAAAATAGGGTTGTCAAAATAGAATTTGTGGAATTTGTTTATATTTGAATCTTATTTACGGAATAAGGCAAGCATTAGGAATAAAGTAAAATCGTTAAGAAATCTACTTATTTTTTATTTATTTGAAATATTTGTTCTATAACCTCCAAATTATAAGTTTCTCAAAATATAAATTTCGAAAATTTTATTTGCTCATCAGAATTGCCATCTCTATATGAAGTCCTGAAACAAGGGTTGAAAATGTGGGGAAGAGGTTTGCCTGGTACGGTTTAAAGTTAACCAGAAATTGACACATGCGAACATGGACATATTTAAATCCTATAATTCATAATTAAATCGGTGGAAACAGACATTAATCAAGATCATTTATATTTGCAGTAGCACAGTCTAATGTACATATGTTTAATATCCTGAAGGTTCCAGTGATCGAAAATAAATCTGTAGTGCACTTCTGTATATATACCCTTCACCACACTGTGGTACAGGGTATTATGTATTTGTACATATGTTTGTAACAGGCAATATTCTCCTTTTGAGAATATGGATAGAAATTCTTTCTGAGTCGATTTATGCATGTCCGTCCGTCCATCTGTCCATTTTAAATTGTAAACAAACTACAGGTCGCATTTATGATCCGAATTGGATGAATTTTGGCACAGCTCATTTATTTGGCCCAAGGACGAACCCTATTGAATTTGGGAATAATCGGTTCAAATTTAGTTATAGCTCCCATATATATTTTCGTCCGATTTAAGGTAAATGTCCTTATATATCTTTCGATTTGCACGAAATTTAGCATGGCGTACTGAATTAAGTCTAGAGTTCAAATTGCCATCGCGTACTATATTAAGTCTAGAAATTATTTGTGAGTTGCTCATACATTCCTCCCTCATCGCAACTTGATATTTATAATCAGCATGTGTTAGCAATAAATTCAATCACTAACAAAATGAATGACTGACAGAATATTAGTTATCGGCGATTTTAATCTGCCGTCCGTACAGTGGCTTTCATTGCCAGATTCTGAGGCTCTAACACCCTTGACATCTGATGCAAATGTAAACCCATATAATTTTGAAATTGTAAATCGATTTAGCGACATAAATCTTTATCAAATAAATAGAATATCAAATTGTTGTGATCGAATTTTAGATCTAGCATTTGTGAATTATACACAATGTTTTGAAATAATTAGAATACCGCTAGTATGTACTCCCGAAGATAAGTACCATCCTACATTATGCATATCCATGATGCATAATAATTTAGCTATCAAAAATTCTTCAATCTTTATTTAAGGGTACCCCACTTATTAATTTTTTATTTTGACTTAATTTAAACCTACACTAATTCAAGAATTTCCCTATAAAATTTCAAGTGAAAATCTCAACAATTTTTAAAGATATAGCCGATTTATTGTGTTAGCATCAGGTGACAGCAAGAGGGCTTCTCACACTTTAAACGCGTTTTTCTCCAAACAGCGTTTTTGCGAATGGCGGGCACGATAACTCAAAAACTTATAACCCAATTGATTTCAAATTTTTAGGACGTTTCTCTGTGAGTGTATAGGTACCAATTGGTGAAGATGTTCATTATTTTTTATCTTAGTTTGTGGTCAAAAATAGGCGATTTTTCAAAAAACAAGATTAAACAAGATTAAGCATAATCTCAAATCCTATCCTAAATCTTTTTATGACTTTGTTAATATAAAAAGGAAAACTACCTCAAATCCCACCATTTTGAAATTCAATAATCAGATATTGGAGAAAAACTCTGAAATTTCAGAGTGCTTTGCAATTTTTTCGATACAACATATTCATATTCACCCTGTCCAAATAAAGACACATATAGTTATAAATTATCGACGATAGATGAAATATCTATGCTTTTTCTACAAAGTCAATGTGTTTCTAAAAATCTACGTTAATTTAAGATCAATTATAAGTCCAGGTCCGGATGGCATTCCTAGCATAATTCAAAAGTACTGTTCAGATACATTGGCTATCCCGGAAATATAGTCATTTTCCTACCTTCTGGAAGAAATCCTATATAATTGGATTACAAAAAACTGGTAGCTTAACTAATGTCTCGAAGTATAGATGAAATCCTAAATTAAGTGCAATTCTAAAATTATTCGAAAAATTGATTACTGATGTAATTTCTCATAAAGTTCAGCCAATCTTAAGTCCATATCAACATGGTTTTCGTAGTGGCCTCTCAGCCATTACCAATCTTATACAATTTTCCTCAACCGCCATAAAAGGTTTTATTAAGCGTAATCAAACCGATACAATATACACTAACGTAAAGCTTTTGACAGGGTTAACCATAAACTTTTAATATATAAATTAAATCGAATTGGTTTCAGTAAAAATTTGATGATTTGCCAAATGCAATAATCCATTCCAAGTTGCTAATGTAATGTCAGACGATGTCAAGTTGTTTATCACCCATAATTCTATGAAGCAAGCTGATTTACTTTAAAATGATTTAAATAGCCTTTTTCAATGGTGCAAATTAAACTGTATGGATTTAAACCTAAACAAATGTAATCTAAATGGCACCAGTGTGGTACGCGAATGTAAGCGATACGCAGTGGAAGAACATTCAAACCTGTCAGAATGCCGCCCTGAGAACTGCGACAGGGTGCCTCCTTATGACGCCAGTCATAAGGGATGTTGTCGATACAGTACCTGCTTGGGTGTAATCGCAGGAATCATCCATGACATAATCTTATGGATAGAATTCCCCCACCTAGGCACGTAAGGAGAGTTCTACATGATCTAGAGAGAGAGAGAGAGATGTCCAACGGTACAAAAGAGAACCCCTAGATCAAGAGGCTTATCGAGCAGGAATTACCAGCATTCACACGGAAGCAGTAACCCAGGCAATGGACCAATACCATGTGAGTGCAGTAGCAGAAGAGCCACAGCTGCCTAGACAAACGAGAGTAGTTTTAGCCCAACTATGATCAGGATGGTGCAGCCGCCTCAATTCGTATTGGGACCGAATTGACAGCGCGGTACCAAACACATGCCCTGCATGTTGACTTGGAGCTCACGATACGCTACATCTCATTAACTGCCCTGCTAAACCCACTCATCTGTCTCCGGAATCTCTTTGGACGCAGCCGTTACAGATTGCAACCATCCTGAACATAGAAGAGGAGTCAGAACCAGAATAATTTAAATACAACAAACATGTAGACAGTTGCTACAACAACAACATATTATTGGTACTGTTTTATCAACTGTAGATTCATTTGTTGATCTTTGGTATTTTAATGTATCTAAAATTAAATTTTAATAATAATGCAATTTCTGTGGTAAACAAAGCCCACGGTGTCTTAGGATTTATAAAATGATGGGCTAAAGAATTTTCTGATCCATACATTACAAAACAACTTTTTACATCTCTTGTCCGACCCATCTTGTATGAGATCCCCAATATACAATATATACCGATAAAATTGAATCAGTTGAAGTTTTATTATTTATGGGAGATCCACTTAGTAAAATGTGTATTGATTTCAATTCTGTGTATTCATGAATATAGAACTAATAAAATCTAATATACTTGAATTTTTAAATGTATGATGCAACTTAATAACAAACTGGTGTTGAAGTAGATTTCTGTAGCTGGTTTTCTATCCCTTCTCATATTCCATCATAATGCGGATTATGGAGTGTACGCGATCCCTATGAAAGGGAGGTCGCCACCTCGGTCGGCAGGGGTAGGAAAGTGAGACATGGGAACGTTTGAAAAAAAATTAATAATAATCACCTTACTGGATCAATGATGGCTTACAACATATGTTCTGTCATTGTATGAAGTCATGTTCCAAGATGGAGGAAGGCTTTTACATGAAAAATGAAAATTACTCACCTTAAATAATTTCTTCAACAACTGCCCAATAACAACTACTCAAACAATTTGTTCGTTTTATTGTTTTATTTATCCATTATAACAAAACAATTTTGTTTAAAAAATGAATTAATTTCGTTTTTTTTTTTTTTATTTTAATTTTAGAAGTGCATAAAAGGAGAACTTTTTTACATCTCCTTTTTTCTTGTTTTTCTCGTTTATTTTTCTTTTTTTATTTATTTCTTTTTAATTATAAAAATCATCATTATCATCAAACAAAAAACTCTTGTTAAATACATACATACTCTACAAATATAGTAAGTAATATTATTTAAAAAAAAATTAAAAATTATTAGCATTAAAAATATTTAAAAAATGACATAAAATAATTTACATTGGTATCAAAAACTGATTAGAATAGTAACTTATACATTTAACCAACAGATGGTGTTAGAATCAACTTGCCAATGACTATCTCAGACAAACGCTTTAACATACCTACTATTAGAAACTTAATAGATTCCCTTAGTTGTGTTGCTTTCTTGTACACGGCGACGACGATGAAGACTCCTTTTAGTTCAATTTATGACAAGGGGGTTGTAGATGGTGTGTGATTGTAGTATGGTGGTGGACACCGCCACCTCAGTGCTGCTAGTTTATGGGGAAATTAATTTGTAAATTAACAAATTGAGAAAATCTTTCCAATACGGCTGGGTACACCGTACGCATTAGCTGCTGATATCCTTCATCGCCGAGTTGGGTACGTAAATTCCCCAACTGCCATTCGATGTATTGCGGTAAAGCAATCTTGTGTACCGGATCCTTTAATGACAACTGCCGGCAACGATCATAGTGATAGGTTTTATAATCAAAATCATCCATGGTACAATAACTACTCGTATCCAAATCATATTCATCGGCAAATACCAATGAATCGCAATATTTCACGGGTTTGTTTTCTTGTGGCGCATTGGCGTCTGTATCAGTCAACGGCTGTTGTTGACCATCGTCATCTTCACGCATCACCTCGAACAGAGCATCACCAATATTTTGCATAATGGCGGGAAAACGTTCCAACAATATGGGATTATTGGAAAATATCGATAAAAAGGCCAACGAGAATAATTTGATTTTCTCCAATTCTGTGACCAAAGGCATTTTTGTGATCCATACATCTAGAATGGTTTCCAAGGCATTTGGTTGTTGCAGTTCCTGTATGACTTCCATGAAAACCTGTTGACTTATGAGCAAAACGCGTGCCACCATCGTTAGGTACATTCCCATTAGCATAGGAAAATCTTTATTGCTATAAACTTGTCGGAAAATATAGGGTAAAACGGGCCGCACCAATTCCAGACCATTTGTTGTGTCGGTTTTCAAACATATCTCCAATACTTTCACCATAAGTATTATACCCTCGGGACGTATATCGTCAAACATACGATTACAAAAGTCGACAAATGAACGTCCATAACGTTCCAAATAAGCATTGGCATCTAATAGGATATAGGCTTGTATCAACACCAGTACAGTACGTAGATTTTCCGATGACATTTCGATGATCGGCATAATGTTTCGACATAGATCGATGAGTGGCGCCGACATGCTTGTGGAATTTTCAACAACAGCTACCCATAATGAGAGACCTTCTTCGATGAGATATATATGAGAGGGTTCCTGGAAAAATTTATGAAAAAATTGGGGTTATTAAAAATATATATTTTAGAGGGATTATTAGAAATTGCTTCACTTTTTAAATAAAATTTAAATTCTAATCAATCTTTCTTCTGTTCCGGAACCTAGCCTTACATATAAACAGACGAAAATTTGTATAAACCCCAACATTATATTGGAGTAATAACCGATTACTCCAATGACGTTATCCAAAAATCCCTGACAAAAGCTATGTCCTTTAATTGCTATCGCTAATAGCGACTAATAGTCAGTCGTATTGAGCTGCAGCGACTACGGTGGCTAGGCCATGTTGTGCGGATGAATGAAAATGCCCCAGCTCAAAAGGCATATAAAAATGAGCCTACTGATGGTTCCCGTAGAAGGGGAAGGCCACAAATTAGATGGAAAGACCAAGTACAAAACAACATCTTGGAACGTGGTCTTCCAAATTGGTGGACTTGCGCACAAGACCGACGCGCTTGGAAATCTTTTTTAAGCTCGGCTTATGGAACAACCGTTCTGTAACAAGCCAGCTAAGTAAGTTATAGCGACTAATTTCGTCCAGTCCCTTGATCCTGTTCTAAGCGGCCTCGATTGCATTTTTATGTGGGTTAGTAGTCAAAATATTTTTAGTGCATCGCGTCTAGAGCTGAGGTTATGGGGCAATTGGAACCCACAAAATTCTTTGCAATATCGAGTGGACTTTGAAAAACACAAAAATTTTATGGGGAGACCCAAAAGAGGGTAAGACAAATATTAATGCTAAACAATTAGGAAATCAACAGACTGCCCGGTATTCTCAAAGGACATAACGGGCTGCAGGCCCACTTGCACAAGATTGGATACGAGGGAAGGAGCTGGTGTAGAGCGTGTGGGGAAGATAGCGAAACTTTAGAATTTTTTTAGGAACGAACAACTTTTGTGAAATAATCGACTTTGGGGGGTTGAATGGAAAAAACTGAAAGACTTCACAAACAAAACATAATTCCTAGAAATTTAGGACAATTAAAATCCAAAGATGACTTCTTCTAAATTTCTTCCTTCTCTGGAGTGCACAACAGGCCACATACAGGCTTAAGTTGATGTCCTAATATTGGACATGTGGTGGGGTGGTCTTGAATCTTAAATGGCTACAGATGCAATAAAGTCCTACAACAACAGATCTTGTTCTGGACCAACTAAGTTCCGGATACGAGAGCGCATTGTCTCCGGAACCCTAAACAGGTGCCCCTTCTGCGAGCAAGCCCTCACGACACACACCATATATTCAATTGTCCGTCCGCTACCCTTTTCAAATCCGATTTCCTAACATTTAATTTATATATTTTCCTTTTTCCGTTTTTTACCATTATTTTCAGGAAATGACTTTCATCAACAGCCAACCTGTTACATCAATAATCTCTCGCCGAAGTGCAGGTACCAATTTATCACAAATATCACTGTCGGGCCAAAGCTTTATCCCTTGATATGGGCACAAAACAACAGCCATCAATTTGGTTTAGGCCCCAAACTGTCAGACTATACCCACGGTTAGGTTCATAGCCAAAACTATTCCCAGTAGAACTCCAGAGAGATTGTAACTGGTCATTCACAGACTATAGCCTCCGATCAGCTTTGTTGACGAAAGTACTACCATTAGAACTAATAATTGCAGGCTTCATCTTACGACGTTGGCATCTATACGCAGCAATTGGCTCGTATATATCAGAAAGACACATGGTATCAGGGAAGAATGGCTTTAATCAGAGACGAACCTTCAAACGGACGCCTGCCTAAGGCGTTCGATACAGTCCACGTAAAAAAATGGTAGATGCACGGTTACGGAATCCTACATAGATGGCCTACCTGCCTTCACCGGCACACACCAAACAGATATTGTCTCGGACAAAAGGGATCCTAATTTCGAGGTCCAGCAGTCGCAGCAATTGACTTGTATATATCAGAAAGACACATGGTATCAGGGAAGAATGGCTTTAATCAGTGACGAACCTTCAAACGGACGCCTGTCCAAGGCGTTCGATACAGTCCACTTAAAGGAATGGTAAATGCACGGTTACGGAATCCCACATAGATGGCCTACCTGCCTGATCTTGTCTCGGACATAAGGGATCCTAATTTCGAGGTCCAGCAGTCTTTCTAGTTTTTATTCCCCATTCTCTAGGATTCCCAGCTTTTGGGATAAAATTTACCTCCTTCCTCAGATTCGATATGTATGATAAATATACCCGGTCATTTGCTATCTGGTTCTGGCCCAAAGTGTTTTCAGAGTGGGAGTTTTATCAGGTGCATTGCTGACATAAATAATAATCGAACATCTACTCTGCTGATGTCCTATGTTTCCTAACAGAAGGCATTCATTTTTGGTAGATTTGAGGATGCTAACCTTCTCCGAGGTAGACCCCATAACAATTTACAACTTGGGCTACCAGTTTTAACCTCTACTTCTTCTTCCTTCATGTTATCCCTTTCTTCGTACAACCGGGAAAAAGAGTAAACGATTAAAAGTCAAGAATACCCCTGCCAGAAGTAGTCAATGTGCCATCAGTTGGTTTGATATTACTTATGGATTTATGATCCTTATATGTTACTTGATATAATCTGACCGCTTCGTTAACTCCACCAACTGACTCAATAAATCATACCCAAGACCTTCGTTTATGGTCCTTTAGCCTTCATGATATCGATATTTTACTTCTTGAATTGTTTATGGTCCTTAGATATTACTTTACGAAATATGATCGCTTCGTTAACTCCTTCAATCGACTCACAAAACATACCCAAGACTTGCGTTTAGCCTTCTTGATTTAGCTCTTATACTTGTTGAATAATTTATAGTCCTTTAGATATTACTTTACAAAATCTGACCGCATCGTTAACTCCATCAATTAAACTCACTAAAACATACCCAAAACTTGTGTTCAACCTTCTTGATTTCACTCTTGTACATAATGAACTGTTCCCTTTAATCATCACAATCAGTACTATCATTGTATGATTAAAATTTCTTCCTAACTTTCTCTAGAAGTTAAAAACATTATGAAATTGCATTCATTACGTCATCATCTCAATACATCTACTACATCACAACTCACCTGCAGATCAGTACTCAATGCAATCACACTATACAAAAATGGACGCATTTTCTCCGGTATGTCACGTATCGCTTTCACAACTTGTTGTAGTGTACAGATGATAGCACACCGCAGCATACTATAGTCCTCGCTTTCTTTCCATAGCAGAGGTAAATATGATATTAAACTATCGGCATAGGGTTCAATGTTATCACTCATTTTCTCCACCAGCGATGACATAATAGCCAATACTTTCATTTTGGTATCACATTCTTTGGCTTCACGCAACAGAATGAAGAGAGCATTGAACGAGGGTTCCAAATAGGGTAGGAAGGATTCGGGAGCAAAATCAAAATCAGATATTAATATGGATAATGTACTGGATGCTGCCAAACGGATGGACATATCTTCAGCTGGTCGCAGAAGATGTAAACATGCCTCATATGCCAAGGGTCGTAGATTACGCGAAAAATTAACACCAGCCCATTCGCCCAGTAGCCATATGATACGTCTTCTTAGAATACGAAAATTAAGTGCATCGATTTTCAGTTCATTCAACAGTTGACCACTAAACCAGGCATCGAAATCGAGTTCATTAAATAAATGTAATGAAGCCTGCCCTGCTGCATTGTAAATTGCATCTTTGAGTAAGATATCTTTTAGATCCGATTCCGCTGTCAGCTGTATTTGTTGAGCTTTCTGTACATATTTCACAACTTCTGCTGACATTTGAGCTTGATAATTGGTAACGCACACCGTAAAGAGAGTCTCAACACAAGGCCTCAACGCATATTTCCATGTATCACCACCACTATCATCTTGGGCAAACTCCTCCGGATCCTCCAGCCATAAATCCAATTCGATTTGTGTCAGAATAAAATAATGTGTAATAATTTTCTCACAAATATAACTTAAGCGCTCCTCGGTGAAAAAGGTTTCCAGCGATGAACGTATCTCCAAGTCCTGGCTATTTTCATTATCCAAGAAGTTGTCGATTTTCTGCCAATAGAACGGTGACATTAGACCCTTCATCAAATTGATACAGTGTATGGCAAATTGGCGAAAATTTATGACGTTTTCGGTGAATATCAGATAAGCACTAACATGGAAGACATGATCGAATGTGAACTGCAGGGCCATGGGTACGAAATTCTTAAAGGCCACGGCATGTGTATCTTGGAATTCCAGCAGGGTTTTCATCTGTTTCAAAATCAACTTTTCCAGCAGGCTGACCAAGTTTTCGTCGGCATTCAATTGGCGCAGTTCGTAGCGGACACTTAGGCACTGCTTCAAGCGTCCGAATAACTTCTCTACAAATTGTAAGCAAACAGGGAAGTTTTGTGGCTTCATATAACCATAAATGGTTAGCTTCCGCAAGATCCGAGTACACAACACTGCAATCTCCAGCGTGGTTTTGGCCAACATGGGCTGGCCATCTTTCAGCTGATGGAAGAACAGTGTGCAGTACGTTTCCCACATTTGATAGAGAAACTCATAGATGTTGCTAGTCAGCTCCTCGAAGACTCTCCTCTCGCCCCATATGCGACGCGATGCCAAGGCCTTAATGACATGATGCAACGTCAGCAGTACCCGTTGTAGTTCTCCGCTTTTCAGGGATTCACAGCCAGCAGTGTTCGAGGCGGAGAATGCTTGTATACGCTTCAGCAGTTCGGGCATCAGTTGTGGCCAATCGTGCGGACAGTCTATGCGTGCAATACGTGCCATCAGCACCGCAATTTGCAATGAAACCTGGGGAATGGGCTCGTTCGAGAAATGCATCAGCAGCAGGTCACGTATTTGCTGCTTTTCCTCCGGCGACAATTCCTGACGCATGCCCTTACGCCAATACTTATTAATGCCATTCTTCAGGTAGACCACGGCCATCCAACGGACATTGACATCCAGCTGTTGGATAATATTCGGATCGCCCACCGCAGCCAAGCACAAACGTGTTAACGTCGGAAAGAACCCCGTCTGTGATTCCCATTCTACCAGCTGGGCCTCAGCTTTGCGTACCACCTCATGATTGCTGTCGGTAGCGGCTCGTAAAGCCTGACATACCATTACTTCTGGTGAGAGAGGAGGCGGTGTTTGTTGCTGCATATCCATTATGATGGATGGCAAAATGCTACAAAGTTTGCAACCGACAAAAAGAAGGAAGACGAAATGAAAAGACGAACGTAATGCATCAATAACCGGAAGGTGTGGCTAACAAAATCACAGATATTGGACAATTTTCACAATGGAATGTGTTCGGGAGATGACTTACATTTTTTCAACATCAAATACGGCTCCTTTTCGATAATATTGATTGGTCTAATGAAAACGGAAAAATTGAAATATAATCGTGAGAATCTAAATTTTTGTAACCAAATGCTAATCGAGAGACGTCGGCGAACAATGACACTGTCAAATGGGGTATGTTCAGTGTTGTGCGAAATTGAAAAGAATGATGTCAATTTGTTGGCGAACAAAAAATTTGCAAATCCTATTAGAATTTGCTTGCTGCGGAACAGGGTGGTTCATAAATTCAGTATTTTTTTCTTTTTTCAGTCTTTTGAAGAGTTTACTTGTGGCAAGTCTTTGTTTGTGGGAGAGAGGGGCAAGGGGAATACAAATGGAAAAAATTACTCGTACGGGCAAACATGGATGCAGGTTTTTAAAAACCGTCTGATCAGAATTCTCTCGCCTTAAAACTCTGTAGGTGTCCATCGCTAATTAGCAGAAGACACAGACAGTTTGCCAAATATGAAATTGATAATCTAGCTTTCTTCTCCGGAATAGACACAAAGAATATCCTAATCTTTGTTAAAATGTTGACATGGCTGAAATAAATAATTTTCTACACTCTTTTAGACTTTCTCTATCTCTCCTTTTTCACTTTCCTTTACTCCTTTCTTTTCAGGTATCCAGGGTGAGCACAATGGACAATGGTCTCTAAGTGAAAGGGTGTTTTGCTTTATAGGAGATCTACAAGGTCTCTCTGTTAGCGTCAAAGTGCTGCCGGCCAGCTCATTCTGATGGATGTATATCCGAAGTAAAAACAAACATCTCAGCAGTATTTCCTAGTATTTGCCAATGGACATGACGAGCTTCTTCGTATTAACCCCAAACTTACTCTTGGCCAGCATGCGAGTATAATGGTCTGTTCCCGTACTGCAAGAATCTACTAGAATTTACTATTTTCTTCGATAACATAAGGGAAAATTCGTTATCGTAGTAAAAAGTTGTAGTTGTACGGGAACAGAACAGTAGGGAAAAATAAATAAGACATTCATGTTATTTCCGAACCCTGGAAGAAAAGACAACATAAGGATTTAATATAACTCTGACATACCGGAAGAGCACTTGCTTTCTTAACAAGTAGTTTCAAGAGCACTCCGAAAGTGATAATGCGAATAGAGGTGTGCTATGTCGTATAATACCCAATCAACCGAGGGGTTACCGCCACAATTTACGAATGAAGATGTTACAAATGTCATCAAAAAATCGCTGGGATCGGACAGAATATACATGGCAATTCTTAAGCAACTGGGCGAACCCGGAGTAGAGTAGTTAACATAATTATACATGGATTCCGAACTATTATGCTGGCTCTTAACCTCGATACCGTCAACAATGCCAAGCTGTTCGATGGTATAAAGAAGACCAACCATATGTGCGGACGCCATTCATGTGTGGTCATATTCCGTCCAGAGGTCATATTCCGTCAGAATTTAAACGGGTGGAGTGTATGTTAAATTTGTTATACCTCGGCATTTTAACCAGAGACTCCATATAATAAACATATATTCCTGATCAAAATAAAATTCGTTGACGATGACCGACGACACCCCCTAATATTCGGTGATACAAATAAAACTAATAATAAAAAATTTAACTAACTTAGTTCACTTTTAAGGGTAGATCCCATAAAAGAATAATCCTCATTATTCAGTATTTTCAAATTTTCTGGGGAGTTTGGACACGTTTTTCAAACAAATTGACTATAATTTATTAAAATTATCAAAATCTGTTCATTTTTGAGATATTTGGTACATTTTTTTAACCGAATTGGCTGTAATTCGGTACATTGATTTCCCATTGGGTAACAAATCACTCTAATAAAAATCGACATCGGTCTACTTTTTAGTATAGTCCCTACTATCGGTACACCCATTATTTTAACCGAACTGGCACTAAAACAGCACATGTTATAAATCCGGTATAATGTTAACGTACTTTTAACTCCTTTAATGAAATTTGTTTGATATTATTTAAGTCTGCTTTTCCACAGGCAGATTTTTATTTGTCAATTTTTTTGTTTTCTCTTTTGAAATTTTCGCTTTGTTTTCCATAGCAAATTTTTCTTTGCGAAATTTGCGAATCAAAATACAAAAGAAAGAAAATAAAAGTCAAAAGTGTTTGCATTTTAAAGATTTTTTTTAATATTTTATTTATTTTTTATATATTTTATTACATAAATTGCAAAAATTAAAAATTAAATTTCACTTGCACAAATTAAAGCAACAGGTTTGTAAACAAAAGCCGGCTGTGTGTCAGTAAAGCGAATAGGTTCAAAAGAAAATGTCAACAAAATTGTTTTCAACGAACAGAGCAAAGCAGAATTTGCGTGTACGGCAAATTCTGAACAGGCAAATTTTTGTTTTTCTTACTCGCACCCCTCTCGCCTACAAACTCAGTATTTGCCAAATAAAAATTTGCCTGTGGAAAAGCAGACTAATGGAATTGATTATTTAGATCCACTGATCCGGTGCAATGTAAATGTACTATAATTTTGTTCTCATGTTGGACGAACTTAACCTCAATTTTTTTTCGATTTTTAGTGGCACCTCGATGTACATATCGAATGCATACCTTTTAACGAACATCGAATGTGACCGCGATAACTGGTCTGATCCAGAACCTGCAAGAATGTAAAATTTTTTACTACGATAACATTTTTTTATGATATCGGAAAAAATTTTAAAAATTAGTAGATTCTTGCAGTACGGGAACAAACCAAACGTTATAACCCCGATTTAGTTATCCCTACCACCCATTGGCATTTTTGTTATTATTCTGCAACTTTATCGACGTTTCATTCTTCTTCCTTCTTTCGAAATTGTTCTAAAGAGAAAGAGGAGATAAAAAGAAATCAAAACAAATAGAATTGAACGTACATTCGGTCGGTCGATTGTCGACGGAAAAGATAACACACCGGGTAATTAAATACCACGTATCCAAGTTGCACAAATATTTCATTACTCTATAACACAAAAAAATCAATTAAATATCTAGAAATGATTAAGGCTGTCATACTTATTGGAGGGCCACAAAAAGGTAAACATTTTCCACCCAATGAAATTGTATTACTCAAAGGCTCCGTTTACAAAAATATTTTTTAGGTACCCGTTTTCGTCCATTGTCATTGGATACCCCAAAGCCCTTATTCCCCGTTGCCGGTCGTCCCATTATTCAACATCACATCGAGGCATGTCTGCGTTTGCCCGAACTAAAAGAAATTCTCATCATTGGCTATTATCCACAAACCCAAATGGAGAACTTTGTGACCGATATGCAGAACTTGTATAGCATCAATATACGCTACCTGCAAGAGTTCACCTCATTGGGTACGGCGGGAGGCATGTATCATTTCCGCGATCAAATCAGAGCTGGCAATCCGAAAGCATTCTTTGTCCTGAATGGTGATGTCTGTGCCGATTTCCCATTGCAGGAACTGTACAATTTCCATCGTCAACGTCCGGATACAGCTCTGGTGACCATTATGAGTACAGAAGCAACACGTCAGCAAGCTGTACACTATGGTTGTTTGGTATTTGATCGTGAAACGGGTGCCGTCTCTCATTATGTGGAAAAGCCAAGTTCATATGTATCGACGTTTATCAATTGCGGGGTGTATGTGTGTTCAATGGAAATATTTGGTAAACTGGCAGAGATATTCCATTCCAGGGTGCAGGAATATAATGGAACAAATTATGTTGGTATTGGTGGTAGTAATGGTAATGGCAAAGATCAGGGTCATATACAATGGGAGCAGGAGGTATTAACACCATTGGCGGGAACGGATAAATTGTTCGCCATGACAGTGCCAAATTGGTGGTCCCAGCTGAAGACAGCCGGTTCGGCGATATATGCTAATCGTCACTATTTAGGTGAGTTGATTTTTTTAACTTATTTTTGGAATTAATTTAAGAACTTTATATGATAAAAGGAGTCTTGACAGTGGCAGCAACGTAATGTTAATTAAATCAGCTGGTCTAAATAATGTAAATCAGGGAAGCAATTGTGGGTGTTTGAAAAAATTTTCTAGTGTGGACCGCCATGCCGCCTTGAGAACTGCAACAAGGTTATTTTCACAAAAGTCCAGTGGAAGTTATTGTCTGTAACACCCAGAGACGTTAAATGAGATCTTCATGATCTAAAGAGAGAGATGCCCAAAGTTACTTGTTTCAATCTCTAGATCAACAGAATTATATCAGACCCCAACATACCATTCAGTAATCAAATCTCAATACCACTTGAGAACAAGCTTATAATAACAGTTGTTCTTAAGCTTTTTTTTAGTAATATTGAAAAAATGTTGTTAAAATGTGAATTCACAAACAGTTTTCAACTATGCTTGAGAAACTATTGTTGTACACAAATGTTTCTCAAGTGTTGTTAAAGAAATCTGACTATTGAGAAAAAATTATTATTCTCAATAGTTTTTTAAATGTGAATTCACAAGCAATTCTCAACTATGCTTGAGAAACTATTGTTGTACACAATTGTTTCTCAAGTATAATTCAATCTGACGATTGAGAAAACCTTCTTATTCTCAATAGTTTTTTAATCGACGCTGTCGTCGTTTGCCCACGCGTCAGCTATAAACTGGTACCGTTAGTTATTTTCATGGAATTTGTGTTGTTTTGTTTTGTCTGTAAATTAATTGCAAAGTTTGTTAAGCGAGCGGACGGACGTGCATTTTCATGGAGTGATAAAAAGAAAAGTGTTAGAAATCTGTGCACAACAATGGCAATAAAAAGTAAGTAAAAAATTAAAAAAATACAAAATTTAAATACAATGTTATTAATATTTTTAATATTTATAGGTGCAGCATTGTCTATTGGGATCACTGAAGACCTATTTATAAAGGACACCCGCACATTTTTTTCAATTTGCCAAAAATCGGGGCAAGCTTCGAAATATTTATAAATTAAAAAAAAAAAATCCAAATGAAATATGAAACTATTTTTTTACTATATTAACTATAATTTCTTTTTACTATAATTTTAACTTTTAGCTGTGCAACTAAAATTTGAATTAACACATGAATAATGAATTGCATTATTATTATCAAGCTTATAAAAATATTGAGATGAGTAAGCTTATATACACACTAGTTAAGATAATATTACATTTGTAAGCTTATTCTACAATTGAAAAAATAAGCTTTAATATAATATTACATTTGTAAGCTTATTCTACAATTGCAAGAATAAGCTTTTAGTAATATTACACAAGTAATTGTATCATAAGGGTTCCGTTTTGATTTTTCTACAATTATTTATAAACATTTCTCAAGATTTTCTCAAGACTTTTTCAAGCTTAATGCTTGTCTTGGTAAGCTTAATATAATATTATTCTCAATACTTTTGGTTTGTTGGGACAGATCTGAATGACATTAATACAGATACACTCTCCCAGATATTAAAACAATTTTGTATGAATTATATACACTGAGTCCATTCACCATCCATAACATAAGAGATGAAGTAGCAGCCTAGACCAACACGAGTTGTAGCTCAGCTAAAATCAGAATGGAGCAACTTCCCCATTTCTTATTGACAGCATGTGGACTAGGCCCACGCGAAATGTTGCACCAATTCAACTGCTAACATTGGGCTACTCAGATTTCAAATTTTCTGAATTTGGATACAGAGGTGGCAGAACCAGAGACTGTATTTCAATGCCCCTTAAGAAAATTGATATTATGAAATCTTCTGAAAAAAAATTATATTGCTTATATATACGATAAATGTATTTTTATATATAGGAATAAGTTCGATCAACCCATTACCGTCTTCCTTTTATTTAACTTCTTCTGTATTTTCAATTTGCAGAATTATACCGTAAAACCCACCCCGAACGTTTGGCAAATGCCGGTGTAAAACATGCGGAAGGTGATGGAAATCTTATATGTACCATATATCCCGATGTGCATATACATCCCAGTGCAACGGTACATCACACAGCTGTGGTATGTAGAATTAAAAATAAAACTTTTTATCTAAAAAAAATTATTAACCAATTTTTACAACTTTTTAGTTGGGACCAAATGTATCAATTGGCCCTGGCGTCACCATTGGGCCAGGTGTTAGAATACGTGAATCAATCATTTTAGAAAATGCCGTTATCAAAGATCACACATTGATATTACATTCAATCGGTGAGTCATACAAGCATAAAGGGGAAAACGAAACAGTTTTTGGGGGTATTTTTCTTCTATCTATTTTAATTTATTTTTTGTGTTTTGTTATTGTTTCCTCTTTTTCAGTTGGTCGTGGTTCAACAATCGGCCAATGGTCACGAGTTGAGGGTACACCCAGTGATCCAGATCCAAATAAACCTTTTGCCAAAATGGAAAATCCACCGCTGTTCAATAAGGAGGGGAAATTGAATCCATCAATAACCATTTTAGGTGAGTGTACAGATGGAAAAGGTGAATACTATGAGCATGAGCGAACAGAGATTATCAAACTGAAATTAGAAACTACATGGTGCCATAAATTAGACTTGGCTGGAACGTCATCCTTCCAAGTCAAAATAGTATATATTACTGGAAGTTGCACTGGCCAATGAACGTCTTCGTCGTACGATTCCTGAAATTTCAAGGACCAAAAAACTTACTCCTAAAAGTTACAATATCAGTAACGTTATGAACTTCAAACCTAAAACACGAACAATATGCCAAGAACACGCAAACACGCAATGTGTTGCCACACGCCGACGCGTTGTTAGGAATCTGCTGCAAGAAGGCGAGACTACGAAAAATATTCGACGATCATATGGCACAGAATGGAGGAGGACGCGCCGGCAAAACCATTCCGAATTCCGTATAGCGGAACACTTAAGGAAAACTATCGAACACGCACGTAGACGACATAATGAGTTGTATCGCAGGTAAGAGCAAGAAAGAAATACAGCCGCGCATTCTCAACGAAGACAGAATTCTATATATCGTAACCAGGAACAACTAAGGAATACTGTTGATCATGTTATTTGGCGCCAGGTCCTAGTGAATCATGATGAGGAGCAACAGAGGAATACTAAATAGCATGCTCATAGAGGTCATGACCCACTGTATCATCAGGATGAACAACAGAGGAATACTGCAGAGCATACTCATAGAGGTCAGGACACACTGTATCGTGGAGAGGAGCAACATAGAGATGCTGCAGAGCATGCTCATAGACGTTAGAATCCACAGCGTCGTGCGTAGGAGCAACAAAGGAATACAGAAGAGCATGTTCAAAGACGCCAGACGATATCGTTTACTATAACGATATATGTGTGAACGCCTGCCGTATGTGGAATTAAGAAATACAAAGTGGACGACTCGTAGAGTGACAGGATGTTCCCTAAGTTGTTGTGATTTTTGCAGAATTGTACAACCTCTACCTTCCGGACCATACCACTTGGGTGGTTGAATGCAGAACAGATTCCGGGCATCAATTACCCATAGATATTCGGTGTATTTTTTGACAGTCTTTCCCTGTCGTTTACCCAAGCCACAGTTATTTGCCATAAGAGTCCTTAAGTCGTTGGTCCGGACCACATGAACGGCTGAAATGTAGCTCCCGGCTTTCCTGTCGTTTGCCAAGCCACACATATTTGCGATAAGTTGGGAAGTACAACCAAGGTCCTCAAGTCGCTGGGCGGCAGCACTTGGGGCGCTACAAAGAGACCTTTTTGACATCTTTAAAAGAAATATTCCCGCCAGTCCGCATTCAAAACTCGATACAGTACCTGTTTGGTTGTTATCGTCGGTTAAATCCAGACTATATTTATATGAGCAGACTTCCTCCATATAGGATATATCTTCTCTATCTTCATTAAGAGAGGGAGGTCGAAACGTACGGTAGTGAACTGCTAGATGAGCAGATCCATTAGACCTGAACAACATTTATTCATATGTATGTAATCGTCCAGGTAGTAGAACAATTCCGTTTGAATGATATATTCGGGAACCATACTCAAATCTCTGGCCGGCAGTATTTGGAGTGTTAACTTTGATGACATTTTTTAATGCAATTGGCCGGTTGGTGGTGTGGTATGCGGTCCCATTGGTTTGCGATTGTAAGTGGTTTACGGGGCGTATTGAAAGGTCACTCAGACCTGCCAGATGTCACCCAAAGAACATGCTTCGTCACGACATCTGTAGATCATCTTCATAAGAAGGCGAAAATCATACCAGTGTTAGTGTCTCTAACACCTGCAATGGACAGCCTTATTCCATTCAGGCACGTTAGGATAGATTTAGGGAGATGTCCAAAGTAACATGCGTCAACCTCTAGAGGCGACGATAACAACCAACAGGCCTTTCAGGCAGGTCTGAAAATCGCCAACAGTACGTCGTTTGGTATAAAGCCCATATCTTTGTCAAAGATCCCAGGAAGCCAATTCTCGATGGTATTGAAATATGTCTATTTAAAATAATGAACATTTTTATTTTTCGGGAATATTTAAAATAGTAGAATTTAACTCACATTATTTCATAATAGGTTATTTTCCTACCATGGTTATATTCAAGGTTAATGATATTAAAAATATTATCTTTATCAACATTTTTACTTAGTAATTAAATGTTAACAAAATATGTTGAAAGAAAATATTTACATTAATTATAACTGCGGGTGTTGTCCCAAATACGGATAAATATTAAATTTTTAACTTTTGATATTATCGAAATGTTAATGTTATTTTTAAAATTAAAAATTATAAAAAATTTAATACTTTTTCCCAAATTTTAAATTCATTATTTTATTATGTTTTGATTTTTTTCCTTTTTCTTTCTAGGATGTTTCGTACAAGTGCCTTCGGAGAAGATCCTATTAAATAGCATTGTATTGCCGCACAAAGAACTGAGTCGTAGTTTTAAAAATGAAATCATTTTATAAAATAATAAAAACAACAACAATAACCTAATTATTATTTGCCATTATACAATGTAATATTTTGCTTACACTGATGTTGTGTGTGTCTTTATTGTGCAGTTTTTTTAGAATTTGTTTTATTATTTTGTATTTGTATTATGTACTATAAACTATTTTACACAATTGAAAATAAACTTTATAAATAAAATCCATTAAAAATACATTTTTTATAAATACTGCTGCGGTGAACTTGTTATACCCTCCACCATATAAAACCGATTTGTAAAAACTCTACCAAGTTTGTTTATACTATGACTAGGACCGAACAGCGAACTTGTGGGTCATGTCAAAATATTGACTTATATAAACATTTTATACCAAAACACGAAAAAACTCCGAAAAACCATGAGAAATGAGGCTGAGCCATTCATGGAAGCTATGCTAAAATATTGCCAGATAATAAACATTTTCTGTCTAAATACGAAAAGCATCCGACATCCCTTGAGAAATGAGGCTGCATCATAAAAATACATAAAATGGTGCAGGGAATTTATACGGGATCGGAACTTCATATGGGACATTGTAAAAACATAGAGTTCTATTAACAATTTGCTGCAAAGAAGTTTTTCATTCGCCAAGAACAAGGGATGCCAAACTACAACCACTTCGATTATAAAACCAGTGAGCGGATACCGTACACAAACACCACTAAGCTCAACGTTTCATGATCATAATTGGTATCAATTTAAATGTCAATTACTCCTCTTGGATATACTATCAACTTCTCGGGTTTATGTCCTTCAGGGGAGGATCTACATATATGCTATAGAATATAAATTTTGTAATTTTTCACAAAAAAAGTCTGGGTCCATTTGACCCGCTAAACATTGACAAATCTTCATCAAAAAAGTCATGCTTATTATTTCTCCAGATTCCCTTTCTCGTTTTGTTCCGGTCATATTTGTTGCCTCTAGAGCGACCAGACAAAAACCACGTTATTTTAGGTTTGATTTGGTACGTTGTGCACTAATTCGTCCTAAGCGGATAAATTTTAGTTATTTGGTACATCATTTTGGTAATATCGGATGAAAATATCTATGGAAGCTATATCTTAACCTGAAATATCTTCAATCCAATATGCTATGTAATATTTCATGTAAAGCGAACAGACATTGGCTCCACTATTTGCATAAAATCGGACAAAAATATATGAAGGTACTATATCTACATCTGAACCGATTTCAACAAAACTTACCGGATGGCAATCTGTAGTGCTCCATTGCATAAAGTCGGACGAAACTATATATGTGAGCTATATATAAATCTGAACCGATTTCAGCAAAACTTAACACACATGCCTCAGTACTCTGTGTGGTCTCAATCGGACCAATATAGGCAGTATGGTGCTACATTTACATAAAATCGGATGAAACTATATATGGGAGAAAATATTGTCTCAATCGATTTACATAAAATCGGACGAATTTATATATGGGAGCTTTATCTAAATCTGAATTTCAATAGGGTTCGTCCTTGGGCCAAATAAGTGACCTATATGCGACCTGTACTTTGTTCACAAAAATACATGGACGGACAGACAGACGGACATGTATAAACCGACTCAGTAAGTGATTCTATGCATATTCTCAAAAGCAATTTTGGATCTATCTCGATTCCTTTTGCCTGTTACAAACCTATGCTTAGCTAGCTTGTGACAGAACTTTCGTTTCATAAGCCGAGCTTAAAAAAGATTTCCAGGCGCGTCGGTCTTTTGCACAGTTTCTCCAATTTGATCTTTCCGTCTTATTCGTGGCCTTCCCATTCTGCGTGAACCATCTTCATCCATTCTCACAACATGACCTAGCCAACGTAGTCGCTGCCGCACAATACGTCTAACAATGCCGATGCCCGAGTATAGTTGGTACAACTCATGGTTCATTCGACGTCGATATTCACCGTCGACGCAGTGCGTAATCGTCTGAATTGCTTACACCTCTCCCTTTCCATCGTTTTTCCTGTAAGGCAATAATATCGGCTTTGTACTTACTGAGCATATCCGCCAAAGCGAAAACTGCGACTGTTCTGTACAACGTGCTCACATTCCTAGTGCAGATTCGCAGATCGTGGTCCTTTATACGTTTGCGGGGGTCGTCAACATTAGGGAGGTTTGGTTTTCTTTTTCTTTGCTTTTTCATAGTAGGAGGGGTTTTCCGAGTATGGGCAACTAACCCGACGTCTCAACCCATTTTTTATAGTTCTTATGGGTGAACTCGCGGCACATATCAGATCACTATTTCAAGGGGTGATAAAAATAGCTACCCAGTCGACACCGCGGGGAGGTCAGTGTCCACAATTGAGATGAAAGAGGGACCAAAATAAGCCTGGGCTTCGCCATGTCAAAGCCAATTAGAGCCGTTGCTTGGTACCTATCATCCCCTACGCCACCCTTATATTGCAGTACAGTAAATAATTACATGAAGTTTCAATTACATGGCCACTTCAAAGTCAATTTTTTTTATAAAAACTATTATTTATGGAAAAAATTGTATGCAACAATTTTTTATTTTTAGTACAGTATATCTATGTGTTTTAAAATAAATCTTAATATCTTTCGATTTGCACGAAATTTGGCATAGCGTAGTGAATTAGGTCTAGAATGATGTGTGTTGAGTTTCCTGAATATCGGTCCAAATTTAGATATAGCTCCTATATACATTTTCGTCCGATTTAATGTAAATGGTTCACCAAAGTCCACATATATCTTTCGTACTGAACTTAGTATAACCTAGAAGTTAGATATAAATGCTGCACCGAATTCCTCAGGTGGGTCCGATTGGCACAAAATTTTGCACAACTTATGGAAGTTATTATGAGATAACGTGTGGCAAGTTTTATTGAAATCGGTTCAGATTTAGATATAGTTCCTATATATAGTTTCGTCAGATTTTAAGTAAAAGGTGCACCAAATACCCAAAGTTATATAGTTTATACAAGCTAGTATGTGGAAAGTTTAATTGAAATCGGTTCAAATTTGGATAGAGCCACCATAAATATTCTCTCTTGATTTTAAGTAAATGATGCACAAAGAACTCAAAATGTGGCCGATATTCGGTGACAAGTTTCGATGAAATCGGCATAGATTACGATATAACTTTTATAAATATTTTCGTCCGATTTGAAGTAAATGGTGCATCAAAATCCTCATGTTTATCAGATATGGGCACTTCCGCAGTCACTTACAGTCACTTCAGAGGCAAAATCAAATTATAAATCTTAAATAAATCGAAAACAATTACATTTTTCACAATTCTCCCTTATTACTTTTTTGTAGAACTTTAGGAGTACTATCAGTGGTAAAAAAATTGAGAGCCTCTAGTTTTTAACTTTTGAGATAAAAGCCACAAAAGAGCGGTCACTCACGCGACTTTAAATATACATGACTTTAGACATCACTGACTTTACACCGACTTTACTACTTTCCTTACTGGTTTTTAATGAAATATACCTATAACTAAGGCAAAAAAAAAAAAAAAAAAAAACGTTTGCGGGGTCAGCTAGTTAACTATAAAAACATTTTATTATATTATTTTTTTTAGCATTTTTCTGGCACATTTACTAATTTTTATAGTTTCTTTTCTTCTTTCTTTAAAACATATTCTAGCATTTTTTCAATAAAAATTTGGCAACACTGACCATCACAGATACGACAAAGCTGCAGTTGGCAACACTCACTGTGATATTTTGTTTGCTGTGGCAAAGAAAACAATTATTAACCTCTTCTCAACACACCTGTTCTTGAAGTGAGAATTATGACCACAAAGAGAATGCAATTGGATCTCTTCTCTTAAGACTGTCTTATCTCAAAAAAAATAAAACACACATTTTTCATACTCACAAGCTTTTCAAAAACATTAATGAGTCTCTCTCCAGGTGTGTATGTGTGTGGGTACGTCAACAGGTAGATATGTAGGTGGTAGAAAGGTAAACGCTAAATTAGATATACGTACGTTTTCCATGGTTGGTTAATGATATTTCTCATGCTCAACGGTTAGTTAGTTATTGAAGAGAGTTCGTGGAGTTATCAACAAGTCAGCCAACTACTCTACTGACAGATAAACTGACAGATGAAGTGTTTTTAGCGTGTATAGAGGAAGAAGAAGCAAAAAATATATACAATAAAATAGAGAAAACGGTTAAATTCTAGTTCGATGACGGTGAATTTACAGTGGATTTAGAATTAATCTTAAGATTTTTAATTTCAAAACAAATTGAAGCTAATATTGGCTAGAAGAGAAAATCAAATTGTATACCAAAAAAATATATGAAGTGGTGAAATTTGTGTAAAAAAGAAAACAAGTGAAAAGTTTCAAAGCCACAACAATTCGGAAAGAAGAAGAAAATAATAAAGCAGAGTTGTAAAAAACGTACACAGCCAACAACAAAAACAACAGTAAAGTAAACGAGAAATTAAGGTTTTTTCCTACGAAAACCTTTAATTAAGAGGATCTACAAGTGCAACCCAGGTTTTATGATCATCGTCATTGTACAAAAATAATAAAAAAAGAAAGAAAGAAGAAGAAGAAAAACAACAATAACATCAACTATAGTTATCATTACCAGGCAAAAGGCAAAAATTACCCCCTAGGGGAGAGACGACTAAATGAACAGGTATGTAGGCAGTTAATTTGTTGTGTACTATTGTTGTTGTTGCTGCCTTTTTGCCAGCCAAAAAAAGAATTCGAATTATTTGTTTGTCAGCAGTGGCAGCAACAACAACCAACAAGCATGGCCAAATGAGAATACAACTGGCAATATTCTCCAATGATTATGGGAATGCATCAGGTTGCGTGCTTGCGGCCATGGATGGATGGTTGGGTTGGCTGGCTGTCTACTTGATGGCATGTCTAAGGTACACACACAGTGTACGTACGGTCAGCTACCACTATGTGTTGCAAGTGAGGGGTTAATAGCAGTTTTAGAGTAGTTAATACATACAGATCGACCGACAGACAGACCGACACTTGTTTGTATGTAAACTTGTTTTTGTTGTTATAACCAATTTAACTCTCACGGAGC